AGAGGTTTAAAAAGAATTAAATTTAACTTGCAACCTTCACTGAACATATCCGAAGATAAAAAAATGCTATAGATATGGCAGTTCTACACACATGGCAAAGAAATGTAAGCACAGAAATACGATTTGTCATTTCTGCAAAATGAAAGACCATTTACGAAAAGTGTGTATGAAAAAAAAAATTTTAATCAAATTACTTTGCTTTGAACATAAGTAGATAACCTGTTACATGAAGTGCGCGCAAAATAAATCACTCCGCAACTTTCAATGTTATTTTTATTAACAAATGGAATACAGTGATCACAAATTTAATTAAATCAAATGAGATAGTGACTCTAAATAAAAATCTAATAAAATTGTGCACGACTTAAAAAGATAAGTGAGACTTTTATTAAATTAAAACATTTGTTTTTATCAAAAGAAAAAAATAGTTTAACTTGTTTTGAATTTCTTTATTAATATTTTTCCACACACATCTAAAACAGCTGATAGAGACAGCATATAAAGCTGGAATGATTCACATAAAAAAGAAAAGTATTGCAAATTGACTTAGAAATTATACCAATTGCAATTCGCTTATTCTTAAATGTGTAATTTATTAATAAAATCTTTTCTGTTTAATTTAGGTGGAAGGTGGTACACACCAACTAAAATGTGATAATTCGCCAGCAGTTGTTGGAACTAAAAAAGAACTTAGTTCAGCAGAAAAAATGAATAAACAAAATAAAGACATTTCAAGTTTACTGAAGGTTTCTCAACGAGAACGATCAAGATCTATGAGCGAAATCCATAACGCTAAAATCGATATTCTACCTAATGATATTAAACGTCTCTGCCGGTGGCCATACTTATGGACATCACAGTCCATAAAAAAAAAACAGTATTAACATAGGGGTCAAAAAACGGCCTCGAAAATTGTGCGGGATTTGGGAATCAACGGGATGATGACGAAAACAAATAGGATATAAAAATGGTATATTAGTACACGGTTGAGGAGCTCTCTGATCTTCGACAGTTATGTTTAAGTGAGGACGTTTCTATTTACTGAACTGAAAAATGTGATTAAAAATTGAAGTTAAAGGATCCACTGTAAGTAATAAAAATCAATTTGTGGAAACTGTGTTTTTTTATTTTTTTATTAAAGATAACTAAAAGTATTAAAAATCAATTTGTGAAAAACTATGTTTTGTTATTTAAATTAAAATTAACTGAGAACATTAAAATTCAATTTGTGAAAACTGTTTTTTATTTAAATTAAAAGTAACTAGTAGTATTAGCAATCAATTTGTAAAAAGATATGTGTTAACTGAAACGATAAGTAAAGAGATCTTTAAAACTTAAATTGCTACAGGAATTAAAGAGCAAGCTAACATAATTCAGAAGTTAAAATATGGCTTAAAGTAATAACTTTTCTGGAAAGTTTTGATTTAAATTAAAATTGAAGCCAGAATAATAACCTAAAAGAAACAAAAAAAAAGGAATTTTTTTTTTTGAACTAAAACATCAAAGGATTTTGTAAAAGCAGTGTATACAGATATCAAAATTTATTGACAACATACAAGATAAACAGCGGTAGCTACAAGGAGGTGAACATTGCGGTGGCGGTTGCGGTGGTTTCAACATACACGCCAACAACGGTGAATACTATTTTTAGCATAACTGTGCCGGTAATTGTGAAGTTGGGTTCCCCAAATGTATGTAACATCGATAAGGATTTTTTTTATATGCTTAAGTAATGATGTTTAATAACACTATTATTTAACAAAAACTTATTTGTTACAAAAAGTTTGAGATAGTAAATTAGTTAATTTCCTTGTTACAAAAGTTTGAATTGGTAAAGCAATTAATTATATAGAAATATTTAAAACAACAACAAAAAAAAGGAAAAATTAATTAAATTATTGTAAATTATATTGCTACTTAATAATAGATAGCTAAATTAATAATAATATATATATATTAAATAATATTATGAAGAACATTATTTGAAAACTAATATTGCTCAAGGTTTAGAGAAACTAAGAAGAAAGAAAAAAAAGAAAGGACCTTTTCCTGGTATTATTATATGCTACTAAGTTTTTCTTGTTTGTCAGTAGTATTTCTTTTGGTTTTTTTTTGAAAATTTTGTCTAGGTACAGCGACCGCGCGAGTGACGTCATTGGTAAGTGCCTAACTAGGCAAGCAAAAAATCTTTTTACTTCATACATATATATTTTTTTCTGTTCTTCTTATTTCTTTTTTTTTATTATATCGATTTTTCTATTTTATTTATAAATCAAAAAAAAAGTATCACTTATAAGAGTTGCTTCAGTTGAATTAAGCGAATAAATAGATAAACACTTATTTGTATAGTTTAATTTAAGTATAGATATATATATATATTTTAGTACAAATTTTTTTTATCATACTTAATATCATTAATATCATACTTAAATTTATAAAGTTGTTATTGTTTATATATAAACTGTTATATTATGAAATAATAATTACAATTTTTTTGTATCTAATTAAAGATTAGTTGAAATAAAATAAGATGCACGTAATAAGAGAATATTGTAAGTGTTGTTATGTTCACAATGCTTAAAAAATAAGTTGCTAAAGAGGTGGTACGGACGGGTGAAGTGTGTTCTAGCATTCGACAAATAACTAAGACCAAAATAGACTAGGAAGTAAATATGACCGACACGGTTAACAGTTTATATTTAACTAAATTTTGTTTACACAAATACATGGCACGAGAATTTTTTTGTTGATGTCAGCGAGGATTACTTATGCCAAGACCCAACCCCAATACCGGCGAGAATTCCGGGCTTGCCACCGTGCCATGGAGGGCATTAGAAGACACGTGGTGAAAACAAGTTGATTAAGAATACACATTAATTAATTTTCTAAGTGTCTACAAAAGGGTGGTGTTATAATACATTTCGCTTTTTCTGAACAAATGTTCAAAAAGGTGCAATCCCAATGTACTGTGTATTTGGTACACGAACAAGTATATATAAAAGAAAATAAAAGAAAAAAGTTTGTGAGCATCAATCTCTTCATCAATAGTCAAACAACATAGAGTTTCTTTGAGTGCATCAAATTTTTATTCATATACACATATATATATTATTATTATTTAAAAATAGGCTATTTGTGCATCCCGACCTAAAAGATCTATTGTGCGCCTATAGGCCCAACTAGGACAATTTTAGACTATTTATAAATCTTATAATTGCAGTGGGCTTAATTTTACCTATTTGATTTGGGACCAGGATCCCGCTACCAAGGTAATCGAGTCTACGTCTCGCCACCGCTGGGCAGTTGCATAGAACATGTTCTGATGTTTCCTTCTCCTCATGACAGAGTCGACAGGAATCACTTTCTACCGCACCTATAATCTTCATGTGGTAATTAAGTCTACAGTGTCCTGTAAGAAGTTCAGTGTAGATTTTGATATCATTTCTGCTAAGGTTGATGATAGCATCAACTTTGATGTGTTCAGGATCAATAAATCTTTTTGACTGTCGCATGCCTGTTTGGGCTCTCCAGTGTTCAAGTAGATGCTGTTTCTCCCGTTCACATAATAAGTTGTTTGTGAAGCTATTTGTTACCCCGCAGAAGGGCTCTGGCCCAATGAAAGGAGTACATGCACCCTTCTTTGCTAATATGTCTGCTATTTCATTGCCCTCATGCCCCTCGTGTCCCGGTACCCACATAAGAGTAACATAGTTCCTCGATGCTAGGGTGTTGAGAAGTTGAAAGCATTCCCAAACCAGCTTTGATTGGAATAAGGATTTTGCTAAAGATTTTAGAGCTGCTTGGCTGTCTGATAGAATGCATATGTTGGTACCTCGGGTGCCCCTACGTATGCATTCTCTTGCACAAAGCTCTAAGGCATGGACTTCTGCCTGAAAAATGGAAGAAGTTTTTCCCATTGCGATTGCTTTACAGAAGTTTGGTCCCATAACTCCGGCTCCTGCACTGCCATTATCCATCTTGGACCCATCAGTATACCATAATCGAGAGCCCTGCTTTAAGTTTATTTTATTATTTCTCCAAGTTGATCGGTCACTAATGACCACTTCGAATTCCCTGGAGAATGCTAATTTTCTATTAATCTTGTCGAAGACCTTAAGGCACGGAGAATTCCAGATTTCATCTAGAATCTTTGCGTGTCCTGTCAGATTGCCCTCTTTAAGATTACCTAGATAAGGAAGCCTTAGTGCAGCACTGGTCGCAGTCCTTTTAACTGTAATGTGTAATGGGGTGAGTCCAGTAAGCATTGCTAGGGCTTCTGTGGGGCACGTTCTCATTGCTCCCGTTACGCTTAGACAGGCTGTTCGATGAATCTTATTGAGAGTCATCTTAGCCTTCGTCTGATTTACCTTTGGCCACCATGCCAAAGAAGCATAGGTGATCATCGGTACTATTACGGTCTTGTACGACCAAGCCATCATTTTTGGTCGCAGACCCCAAGTTTTACCATACAGTCTTTGGCACGCATAAGTTGCTCTTAGAGCTTTGCCAGTTATATATGATAAATGGTTTTTCCAAGTAAGAGTTTTATCTAGAATTACTCCTAGATATTTCATTTCCTCAGATAGTATTAAGTCAGTGTCCCCTAACTTTAAGGTCCCTAGACTCATCTTCCTTCTTCTGGTGAAGGGTACTACATTTGTTTTATTCGGATTAATCGAGAGTCCTTTCTCTTGACACCAATTTTGAGTGATATCAAGAGCTAGTTGCATACGATCGAATATGGTGGAGTCGAATTTGCCTCTAACCATGATGACTAGATCATCTGCAAAGCCCTGAACTTCATATCCGAGGTCACCAAGAGACTGTAGGAGTTCGTCAATGACCAATAGCCATAGGAGTGGCGAAAGAACGCCTCCTTGAGGACATCCTTTGGTTGACTTGACAGTTAATCTCTTCGTCCCCATTTCAAAGATTATCGTCCTGTTTTTCAGCATATTGAGAATCCATGTTATGATCAGTCTATGTATTCCTTTCCTGACCATTCCTGCCTCAATTGATCTGAATGTTGCATTATCAAAAGCTCCTGTAATGTCAACCGATGTGCAGAGAGCTATTTCCTTACCGTCTAAAGCCTTCTCGATTTTACTCGTCAGACTATGTATAGCGGTGTCGGTCGATTTGCCCGACTGATAAGCATACTGTTCAATATGTAGAGGTGAAGCTTTAATATAGACTTCCCTGATGTATTGATCTAGAATCTTCTCCATTGTTTTAAGCAGGAAAGAAGTAAGGCTAATGGGCCGAAAAGCTTTTGGCGTGTGGTCCGCCTTTTTGCCTGCTTTCGGTATGAAAGCTACCCTAGCCTTCGTCCAATGTTTAGGTATTACGCCTAATTCTAGACTTATCCTAAATAAGTTTGTTAATATCGGTGCTAATATATCAACGCCTTTCTGAAGAAGGCACGGTTGTATATTATCGATACCAGGTGATTTAAACGGGCTGAAAGTGGAAATGGCCCATTTAGTTTTATTGACTGTAAAGATTTTACGGGCCAGTGAAAGATCTCTTCGTGTAACCAATAAGAAACGAGTATCCTCGATGGTTTCCGTAGTCTCAGTATACATGGCGCAGCCTGGAAAATGAGTGTCCAGCAAAAGCTGTCCCGTTTCTTCCAGACTTACCGTAAAGCTTCCGTCAGCCTTCTTTAATGTAGAGAGGCTATTTGAGTGGTCTTTATTTAGAGATTTCTGGAGTCTCGCAGCCGCAGGAAGTGTTTCAATCTCCTCGCAGTGCCTCCTCCATGATTCCCTCTTTGATTTCCTCAATTCCCTATTGTAAGCCGTTAAGGCACACTTGTAAGATGCCCAGTCCCCATTGGACTTGGCTCTATTAAGGAGCTGGCGGGCTTTTTTGCGTAAAATATCTAGTTCCCTATTCCACCATGGGACGTTCCTAGAACGTTTCTTTTTGATAAGTTCGCAGCTATTTTCAAAAGCCCCTGTAATAATATTTTCTAGTTTGTTAACCTCAAGATTTAGTTCCTGACAATTAGTAATCCTATTCCCAAGACAACTAATGTTTTGTTCTAAATAGAAGTTATATAGAGACCAGTTGGTCTTCCTAACATTTCTTATTTCGAAAGTGTCTTCAACTTCCCCTTCCAAATCAAAGCGTATATATTTGTGATCTGATAAGGAGTTCTCCTCTAACACCCTCCAATTTGAAATGTTATTTGATATAAATGTGCTTGCTAAAGTGAGATCTAATACCTCTTCCCTTATCGCATTTACAAAAGTAGGTTCGTTACCTTTATTAACTACCATTAAATTGTTAGTTGTGATATAATCAAAAAGTGACTCACCTCGTGTATTGATGTCTGTGCTTCCCCATACTGTATGGTGTGCGTTGGCGTCGCAGCACATTACCCACTGTAGGTTTCGGATACGGCAGTATTCTGTAAGCTGCTGGAGCTCGAGAGACACCGCTTCCTCTGCGTCGCCAGGGAGGTACATAGATGCAAAAACTATTATTCTCGTCCCCCTAGTACTAGGCACTTCTGCCTGTACCGCCACCAGATCACGCTGTATGAGCTCTGTAATTGGAAGAGATTTAATGGTTTTGTTAATCATTATCGCCGTTCTAGGACGATCAACATTATTATCATAGATTAACTTACACGTTTTTGTCTGTAGACCGTTTATGCGCCCCTTTGTGGCCCATGGTTCTTGGATGGCCACAAAATCCAGACAGTGTTGTTCCACCAGGGCACTGAGCCTGTATGAAGCTGCTATAGCCCGGTGGAGGTTGATTTGGAGGCAATGAAGTTGCCTCCAAGAGTTTTGCGGATGTGGCGGAGTCCGGGACATTATATCCCAGACTGGCCCTTGCGGACCTTGCCGCCCTTCGTACCGCGCAGCAATTCCGCGGCCTCCGGGTCTTTTCTTTCCCATTTCCTCAGACGACCAGAGAGAGCGGAAGGTTTTCGGCCCTGGGCACGGATTCTGCCCCCTCTCAAGGGTGGTCCCCCGGAATTGAGACCCGTTTTCGGCTTCTGGTTGCTTGACTGAGCACAAGCCGCAGATGTTGTTGGTCGCTCATCTTCAACCACTTCCTTTGCTCTGTTTCCTTTATGTCTTGGTCTCAGCACGGCACTGCTAAGTCCATAGAAGACTTTATTGCCCAGCTTTCCGACCATTTCGGACGACATAGGATCCAGAGCAATCGCCATCTCGACGATATCGCCCTTATTGAGCCTGTGGAGTACCCGCCAGTCCCTGACACGCATGCCCGAATTTTGGCACTCAATTTGTCCCAGAATACGGTCGCTTTGCCAGGAAGCTGAGCCTGGGAAGTAGCCAACAAAGATTTCAGACTTTGGCACTTCTGCCTCGTCCACTACCTTCAGCTGGGCTCCTTCCCACGGCTTCAAGGCTGGGATTGTCTCTTTAGATCAAGTTACAGTCTCGTCGTCCAGACAGTTAATGGTAAACCATCCGGGCTTTAGACTGTAACCGGCGAAATGAGGCTTCACCCCAGGAGCTCGACAAGTTTCGTACATCTTGTCGAGGATGCATTTCTGCACCTTGCCAATTTCCTCATTGGACCAAATGGCAAGTAAAGCCTTCAACCTTTTGCGTCCAGCGCCGGATAGCTTCACCCTCGTTTGAGTCTTTTTAGTTAGACCAGGCTCCAGAAGATCTCTCTCCTGTTCCGAGGAGATAGACATCCCAGCCGACTCTTGGCTAAGTGGAATGTCCATTTCCTCCGGCTTGTCGGGTAGAGGACCAGGTGCCCTCTCCAACAAGTCGTGGTCCATTTGTTCACTGACGATGGTACCAGGTGCCCCCTCGTTCAGTGATAAGTTTTGGCTGTGTAAAGCCATATTTTGCACATTTAAAGGTGTGCAGTCCATAGAATTGAAAATGTTATTAGGTTCCATACAAAGTAAGTTTAAATAAACCGTGCAGGTTGGTCACCCATGAGCGCCCCCATGGGAAGGACAAATTGAAACCGTAGGTTTGCCAGACCTGGTACGGAGTTCGCTATTAAGCTTGACTCTACCCTGTCAAGCAAGTTCACCAGCATAGCTGTTCCACTGTGAGTTTAGGGGGTTTGTTTGGGGCAATAGGTATGTTCATATTCCAGTCTATCAAGACCTAGCCTTGGGAGCCTAGAATATGTACAGACCCTGCCCTAGGGAGTTTTCCTTCTCCCCCGCCCGACTATCGGCGACCCACAAACAGCAGAGACATGACCGTACTGAAGGCGAGTCATTGGTCTGATAGATAGCCGCACTTTCCTATAGGACTGACCAATTAGCAAGTGTCCATTAAAGTCCACTAGCTAGCCTCAACGACTGATCAGGAATCGTAGATACCTACTTTCAACCTGTGCGTTGGCGGCAGTTCTTAGTTTGTGTGCTGAATCATGTCACATGAAAAATCATCATGTCATGACTTCCATATGACATGCTTCAGTCCACAATAAGCCCCTACACCACGACAAGGTGACTACCTAGCAAGGGATACACATATATATTTATTTCCATAAATTCTCTTAATTGTTTTTTTTAGCTAGGTACCTGGAACACACGAAATGACGGCGTTTCGGTGAAAGTAGTAAGTACCTAGTGTTAAACTTAAAGAAACGTCAACAAAAAAAAAAATGATGTAATAGAACTAATAAAACAAAAAGATTTAAATAATTTGATGTACGACAAGAATATCTGATTTTGTATGGATTCATGAAATTTATGTCAGTAAAAGTTAAATACATATATTTATATGGAGAGTTGATCGTGTATATTTTGTTTATAAAATAGTTTTTTTTTCATATATGATACCTAAATAAATTGTTTTTTTTTATTTATTATTTTCTTTTGTTATTGTAAACTGATATTTTTAAGACTCAATAAATGTAAAAACAATTATTAGAAATTATAAAATAATTGGTTATAATTCATTTAGTTGGTTATTATACTTCTTGAGGTGTGAGATTTGTTTTATCGGGCTAGTAGAGATAGCTGTATTATAAATTAAATACCAGTAATGGTGTCATACTCCATTGCGCACCGCTTAAAAACGAAGATAACACTTGGGCGCGCATTAACGAAGAAAAAGCAACTGTTCTCGCTGAGTATTTTAAGAGCACATTTACAAATTCTAAAAATGATACAAACCATGCACTACCCAAGAACCTGACCCAGAAGAATGTTACAATAAAGAAGACAACAATTGCTAAAATATAAAACATCATCGCCGTTAACATCAACCCAAAAAAATCACCAGGCTATTATGTGATATCTGGTAAATTTCTTCTAGAATTACCTGTAATAGCTATCATTTACATTAGAAACATCTTTAACTGCATGATCAGCAATAAGATTTTCCCGTCTGTTTGGAAAGTAGTAAACAATTGAAGTAGCGAATGCTTCAATTACACAGGTCAACAAAAAAAAATTTTTTTTTTATCCTAGATATGTTATTGAGTGATCCTAGAGGTATTTTGCGTGCTGATTCCAAATCTGGACTTAGATTTTTTCTATCACGTCTAGTTTTCTTTAGACAACCAGATTAACGGGTGATTCAAGGGATGTAGGAAGTGAAGTTTTAAAGACATATTGCAGCCCATTTTTTGGTATGAATCAATTAGATTAGCCACCAGATCGCGATAATTTTCAGCCAACATATTTCCTAAAAAATGCTCAACTACATTTTTGAATGAGTTCCACGCGTTAATTTCTGTTGAACTCAATTGCTGTTGAAATTCCGAGTCCTTCAGCAGTTCTCTAATCTGTGGCCCAATAAAAATACCTTCCTTAATCTTTGCCTCAGTTATTTTAGGAAATTTTTGCTTCAAATAAGTAAAACCACCACCATTTTTATCCATGGCTTTAACAAAATTTTTAAAAAGTCCTAATTTAATGTGCAGAGGTGGCAAAAGAATATTTTTAGGATCGACCAAAGGCTGGAAAAGGACATTTTTGATTCCAGGAACGAGTGCTTTACGTTGTGGCCAATCTTTTTTCAAGTAATGCAATTTTCTGTCTCTGCTATCCCACTTGCAGATGAAGCAACAATATTTCGTGTAACTAAGTTGTAAGCCTAGTTAAATTGCAATAACTTTTAGGTCACCACAAATTTTCCACTTATATCTTTCGTAGTGAATTTTTTTTAAGAGAAACTGCATATTCTCGTAAGTTTCTTTCATATCAGTTCCATGGGCTAACGGTATTGAGGGAATTTCATTTCCATTATGTAAGAGAACAACCTTTAAACTGACCTTAGAAGAATCAATGAACAAACGCCAATCATCATCGTTGTATTCAAAATTAAGAATATCCATAACAGATAGAACATCATTGCAAAAAATAAGGTTGTTTTCTTAAGAAAAGAATAATTTAAATTCGTCATGGCGAGATCGATACATAGAAATTTTAGTTTTTGGATCCAACAATTTCCAACCCTTTAATCGTGATCCTAAGATTTCACTCTTCTTTTTGCACAACTTTAAATCGCGCACTAGATCGTTTAAATCGTCTTGCGTTATAAGATGAGGTCCATCAGATTTATTAATTCGTAATATTATTATTTATACATATTTATTAATCACGTTATTTATATACATATATTT